TTTCCTCTTAATTATAATTAAAATTTTCCATTTTTATTAGCTGTTTGTAACAATTATGAAATGCCCAATAAAAATGTAAAATTCTATGACAAATAATTATGAGGGATAAAATAAATATCATACAAAGTTTTATATAATTATATTTACTAAAAATTCCCAAGAAAAATAAAATCAAAGAGATGGCAATACAAAAAAATATTTTTCATATACTTCACCCCCATACAAGCGAGCTTATGCGAAGCAAGAATGTCTATTATTATTATTTACTATGGCGCTCCCGGACGTCTTATAAATGATTATTTAAGAAAGTTACTCTAATATCACAAACATTACATTACTATTTCGGTACGTTAACTATCTTTGGCTAACAAAAATCAGAAATTGCATAACAAATAATTAATTTACTTGATATGAAAACTAATGCCTAAATAAATAAATTTTTAAAATAAACGAAAAACAAAACAACAAATTCTTCTTGAATCTTAGGAAATCAGACAAAAGCAACCATCCATATAAACTGAAACAGAAAAAAATTAAATGCAGTAACTTCAAATAATTTTGTTTGTCTTTTAGACATTGCAGCAGCCCTCATACTATCATTATAATACTTTCTTATTATTAATAGTAGACAAGTTTCAACTAAATGAGAAAAGACATCTGTTTTATGTTCTTTATATGTAAACCAGAGACGGCTTGTGGCCTAGTCTGTGAGGAAGCTGGCTCATCCTATATACTTTATACAAATATATATTTCTATTAGAATACAATGAAATATTTCTGCTTTTTGAATTCTTATAGACATATATTTGTATATAGGGTGTGCCTTTTAAAAGTAGTCTCCTCATAGACTAGGCCACGAGTCGCCTCTGATGTAAACCATTTAAAATCAACATGGTCTGGCAAAAAAGTTTAATTATTTGAATTATGTTGTCAATATGACCCAAAAGTTGTGAAACTATTTCAAGAATTTTTGAAAGAAATTCAATAACATTTCTTTGTACATAAATAAAACGTCTTTTATCAAAATTTTCTTTAAAATAAGTAAAAGTATCGATGGTCTTCTAACATGTCTGTAAATTAACTTTACACTCTTTGCAGTCAAAACTATTAAGTTTCTTAATAAACCCTGCAACATAACTAGTGGCCTGACTCAAATTCTGCTTTATTTATTAATTTTGTATATATTATTAAAATGAACTTTATCCACACAGGACTCTGTTTGGAGGTGTGATAACAATATTACTAAGTACTACTATCTTTGGTGTATCTGGTTTTGAGGATACTAAAGCAAGGTAAAGCAAATCTTTTAGCAGTCTTGAACGATTTGTGTTTGTAAACAATTTTGTATCAAAATATGATTTTCACATAATGTATAATGATTGGGGTTGTAAGTGAAATGTTTAAAATACGACACCATTCCGTTCTTTGATCAATATCAGAAGGAAATTTAAAAATGTTTGTTCTTAAAATTTACGTTTGGAATGGGCCTTATAAAATGTACTATAACAATTAGAAATTATGCGTTTATAATGAATTCTGCCTGGTAAAGACATGTTAAAGCATCAAAATACCTTTACTTGATTTTAAATAATCCTAAATAACATATCTAAAAAAATAAAAGTAGTTCCACTCACATGTTTTCTTCGACAACCAAATCATAACATAACCACACATTTGTTTGATTTTGATGTTATTTGTTGACAGCGCGCGCGGGGCCCGCTATAGCGGGCAGCCAGCAGTCATGCAGCGGACAGAAAGCCATCTTCACATAGTACAAATAACTAAGTGAAGGTATGTTTTTTTTAGTTTGTTGTAATATATGAATTAAAATTTTTGAAACAACACTTTTTGTGTGTTACTGAACGAGATGTTATTAAATTAATCAATGTGCTTTACATTTTAATACAATTTTGCTATTGTAAAACGGACTTCAGAGCACCCAAGCGCGGAGGAGTATGCGCAGAAACGTGTTTACGTATTGTGCATATGATATAAACCCCCGTGTACCTTATCGTTCTACCCTCTCTACTTCTTTGGACTAAACCGAACGCTAAAAGGGTCGTTTGGAGTTAAAAGTTTTAAAGGAGTTAAAGGAACTTGGCAGACCGAACGCAATGCATGAGACGAACGATTAATCCACATACTTTGATTTTCTTTTACTATACGGAGAATGGTCGCACTGCGCAGCTTTCTGAGTGCCTATTAAAAGGAGATAGAGAACTCCGCCATTTTGAACCCTTATTACGTGTTGCCTACATCTTGGTGCAATAGTTTTAATAGGTGCGTTTAAAGGCATTTCTTTATAAGCTTACTACAACATACTTGGTTACAGTATTGTGGTTACTGTGGTGACATTACGCATACCATGGTTTCCCTATTATTGAATGTCATATGTCAAATTTAATTTAAGTTTGGGGATTTCTAAACGGAATTTGAATCTTAGAAATGTTAGGATGTTTTGATTTTATTATTTTTTATTATAGTATGTTCTAGTAAGCTTATAAATAAATGCCTCGTTAGATGTAGCTACATATGTTTTGGTAACATGTAACCAAAGCAAAGTAACCAAACGTTATAAAGAAATGCTCTGGTTACAGAAGTATGTTCTGGTAAGCTTATAAAGAAATGCCTTTAATCATCCGCTTCTGCTTCGGAATTGTCGGTTTTCTTGTTTTAATCTGACAGGTTAGAACGACTGAACCGACAATTCCGGAAGCTGAAGCGGATGATTAAAACGCACCTGACATTTTGCTTGCTGCTGTCAGTGTCAGTGAATATTATTTTTGGAGTCACAGTTTATTGCTAAAGAATCAGTTAGCTCACTCGGACAAGTTGAAAGTTCCAAAATAACATCTACTCCAGGGATACAAATTCAGGATACGCAGAAGACTGCTGTTTTATTATAGGCGGTTGTCATATATTGTATTATCTGAGTTGCGCAGTGTATAAACTGGAACATTGAGATAAAAAGTGCCGATGCAGAGTGAGCGATCTGATTCTTTAGCTATAAACTGTGTCATAGGGTTCAAAATGGCCGCGCCCTATGTTGGACGTGACGGACCTCTCTCTTGCCCCGTATAGTAATCAAAGTATGTGGATTAATCTGATCGGTGATCACTGATCTGTCTTACGCTTACGTCCACGGTTTGCTTCTCCGAGCAATTTCGGAGATTTGCTTGGTTAGGGTTATATTAGGTCTTTTCCTTTGCATCGAAAGTGTAGCACTGAGCTACACCACTTCTGAAAATATCGTTCCATTTATACAAATTGTATGGATGGAACATATTTTCAGAAGTGACATAGCTCAGTGCTACACTCATTGCGTTCGGTCTGCCAAGTTCCTTTAACTCCTTTAACACTTTTAACTCCAAGCGACCCTTTTACCGTTAGGTTTAGTCCGATTAGTGACAGTTTAACACGCTTAAATGTCATTTAAAAGCACCCTAAAATTTGTCCCGCTCCAGCCCCTGACTGACCGAACTCGCCTCCTGTCGATGCAAAGGAAAAGACCTATTAGCAATTAGGCATTCCAAACTGAATGGCTACCAGTGGGTTCTGACGGGTTATGATATGGCAAAATTATGGCAACCCTGTAGGCCTGGTGATTTGACAAGGTCAATGAAATAGATAGTTACATATGCTGCGTTTGAGAATCCACATCGGATGCATTTTTTACATCTCGAGCGTTTTTTATCCACATCGGACATATCTGTCCCATTACATTTACGTATACTGAATCACGTGATCAAAGATTTACTACATCTCAGAGGCATCCGATGGGGATTCTCAAACGCGGCATTTGATTGATCATCCATATTTTTCAAAATAAACATAAGCTTATGTCTTAAAGTAAAAATGTAAGCAGTTATTATTTTTTAAATATCTAAAGGCTAAAAATTGGTTTTAAAACACATTTTTGCTAAACCCATTCAAATTAATAAATATTTGCCAGGCAATATGGCCGCTCGTAAACGATCAGCTTTGAGCAATCTATATAACTATATATGTATCATTGACCCTGTTAATGACAACATGAAAACAGGGTTGCCATATCTAAACTGTCATTACCCACTGGTAGCCATTTGGACCAATGACATATTTGGACAGGTCGTTGGAATGCCTAATTGTCGGTTTAGTCGTTTTAACCTGTCAGATTAAAAAAAGAAAACCGACAATTCCGAAGCAGAAGCGGATTATTAAAACGCACCTATTAAAAATATTGCGCAACACGTAATAAGGAATCAAAATGGCGGAGTTTTATATCTCCTTTTAAAAGGCACTCAGAAAGCTGCGCAATGCGACCAGTCTCCGTATAGTAAGAGAAAATCAAAGTATGTGCCACTCACCCACTGGCACCCCACCCCCACCTATGCACCCCACTGGTAGCATTTTGATCAAAGAAGTAGAGAGGGTAGAACGATAAGGTACCGTCTGCGCATCCATCACGAGTGTAGAAATTATGCGTGATTCAGCCTTCCACTCTTACACACGTAAATGACAAGGAGAGGTTGCCCTAAAGCACTGTAAACAAATTCCAGGATCGACTTTATTCAGCGATTATGTTCATGTTCAGTTCTGTTTTTTGTTTGTGTTTTGGCTGTTGTAAGCTTTTTTGGCGTCAATTCTTTGTTATCTTGATTATATTTATGATTTTTTATGCTTTTATTCCGATTTAGTATTAAATTATACTTGTTAATTATTTTTCGATGCACTATTTTATAATTGTTGCACAAAATGTTGTTAAACCGTCCCTGAATTTTGTTTACAAAATGTGCAAAACGAAATTGTGCATAGTGTCCAGAATTTATCATTGACAGTTATCATTCTACCCCTCTTCACTTCATTGATTTTGACAGGTCGTTGTAATGTCTAATTGTCTGCGCCATCTATCAGTAACCTAAATAATTTAAATTAATACTAACACAGTAATCTATGATACTAACCACAGATACTAACTGTTGAAGATTTCTACTTAAAATTTTATATTTAAAGTTTACAGCGTTTACAGGTTTGCAACATCCTGTCATCCTGATCCTGATTTCTGTCAATAGTGTCAATTGGATGCGGCAAGGTTGCAAAATTCCGAGTATAAAAAATATCTTGATTGGTAAAATACTAAAATTAGGAACTTTAGTATTGAGAACTGGGTTGAGCTAAAGCTTAGTTGAGAAAAAGAAAAAAATGTTTAACTAAACTTCAATTTTTAGAATATTTAACGAGAGGTATGTACCAAATTACTACCAAGAAAGTTCTTTTTTACAAGGCATCTATTGTTATGGTTTTTTTTTTCAGTTTTTGTATTCGTGATACTGAAATGGAAGGCGAACAATTTTCCTTATGTTGGAATAACTTCCATACAAATTTAAGCTCAGGATTTCACTCGCTATTTAAAGATGAAGACTTAGTTGATGTCACTTTAGCAGCAGATGGAAAATTTCTTAAGGCACATAAAACTGTTTTGTCTGTGTGTAGTCCTTTTTTCAAAGACCTATTTAGGTAACTATACATACTTTTTCACATTAAAAGTACTAAAATAAGTACAGTATGAATAAAAATTATAATTATGAATCATAAGTTCACAATTTATAAGTTATCTGTAATGGTTAAAATGCCTTATTCTACTTTTTATACATCAATTTTTTATCTTATAAGAAATAATATGAAGAAAATTTACTACAATGTATATAAAGAGTTTTTTAGCAAAAGTAACAGAATTTAATCTATACTAATATATCCACATTCCTGTTCATCTGAAACAAAGCCATATAATAATATCAATACCTCGGAGGTAAATTGCATTGTCATTCTAGAGAACTCTTCAGTAGAGCAGATTGAATGTTAGTTGTTTGGACACTTTGTGACCCATAATTTTTCGCTTGAGTTCACTTAGGTCAGTTGTCACAAAATCCATTTTTTTTTTGAAATCCCTATAAACATCCAGTTCTCTGAATGCACTTAAGCCACAAGTGACAACTAACTTTAGTAAATTGCGTAGTATTCTTTTTATAATTCTGTGGACTTCAGATGTTATAGCAGGGACAGAAGTTGGAAAGGCTTTTTGCAGTTCTCCCACTTCCACACAGTTTTGCGGCAGAGGTAAATAGTTTCATAAACTGTAAATAACTGTTGAAATTTTGTAGAACTATGATTTGGGATATTATTTTAATAATTATTTCTAGTCCATAACATATCTCAATATGGTTTTTGTGCTGGGAAATTGACTGAATTTAATCTAGTTACCTACATCAACTTCCTCTCGGAAGCTTTGGAGAAGGGTTGCCAGATTGATTCTGTTTACACTGACTTTTCTAAGGCTTTTGACAGGGTCAACCATTCTCTCTTACTTGAAAAGCTTTACAAATATGGCATAAATGGGGTCATACTGCTATGGATTAGTAGCTATCTTATGAACAGAACTCAGATGGTTAGAATAAACCATCACTATTATAACTCATTTCAAGTTACCTCAGGTGTTCCCCAAGGATCACATCTTGGTCCCTTATTATTCAACTTATTTATAAATGACATCATTCATTGTTTTCAGTATGGCAAAGCATTATTGTTTGCAGATGATTTAAAAGGTTTCCCAATTATTAAAACCATTTATGATGCTCAGTGGCGGCTCGTAAACAAAATTTTGGGGGTTCACAGTGACAGAATATAGATATCAGTACAGATTTATGAAAAAACCTTTCAGTGTTTTAAAAAGTTTACAATATACCTTTCTAAAACACTGACAGTTTTTTACCTACATCTGTACCGAGATCTATATTTAGCTACTGTGAACCCCCAAAATTTTGGTCACCAACCGCCCCTGCTCTGGCTTCAGTCTGACCTTGATAATCTATCAAACTGATGTTCCTTAAATGACATGGATTTACTTACTTGTTTGGAGTAAATGGCATGGATTTGAATGCCTTAAAGTTAAATGTCATGCGCTTTCATCGATCCCATGTATCAACTACTACTTTTGATTATAACTTAAATGGTCATATCTTGGACCTTGGATTTATTCTAGATCCCACTTTAAGCTTCAATCAACACATACCTAAGGCTATCCATTAATCCATGAAAATGTTATGTTTTATCAAAAGGCTTACACATGATTTTACTGACACAACTACAATTAAAGTCCTTTATTGTTCACTAATCCGACCTCACCTAGATTATTGCTCTTCTGTCTGGTCTCCACATTACACAACACACAGCAGAAACATAGAAAATGTGCAACATTTATTAGATACATAGCCTGTAAATTGGGTGTCCTTTGGAAACTAGGAGGAACAGAGATACCTGACATTACTTTTCAAACTTATCAATGGCAGATGCGGCTGTATTGAACTTTTAACAAAAATAAATCTTTATGTTCCAACCCGCTCAACTCGACAGCAACAAACATTTTATGTACCATTTTAGTAGCTGTATTCCAAGAATGTTAAAAGCATAACGATCTTGAGATATTTAACACCCCCTTTCATAAATTTATAAAGCAATTACTTACTACTGAGCTTTAATCTGTGATCTTTAATTTTTAATGTTTAATGTAAATATTTTATTCAACCTTATTGTCTTTTTAAATCTTTTAAATTATTTACCTATTTTAGTCTATATGTAATGAATTATACCGCTTTTGTATTTCAGCACCATATATACTTCACTAAATTTTCATTATAATTTAAAATTGTAATTTATTTCTCAAATGGGCTTGTCCGTAAATAAATAAATAAATACTTGCGATTGTCCGGTTCCGACGTTAACAGTTTAAAAGTACATATTCTATGAAACGCCACATAGCCATGAAATTTTTGAAGTTGTCCTACGTGGTTTGAAGTTCGCTCCCTCTCTACCTACCAAAACCCTTTCTAACTTCTGCCCCTGCTATAGTGCAATACATAGAGCTTGAAAATATATACCTATTGAAATTAGTTTGCTAATAATTGGAAATCTGCCCTAAGTGAACTCAAGTAAAGAATTACATATATTAATTATATTTCGATGAGAATATGCAGTTAGGCCAGGGTTGGAAAAAACCTAAGAATTAAAAAATAAATAAATAGTTGTTTAGGTTTTTTAAGGTTTTATAGGTTTTACTTAAAGCAAAAAATTGAAAAATAGAATTTTATTATATTAAAAAATCACATTCTGTAATCAAAAAAGTCAAAAATAAATAAATGGTATTTATCAATATCAAGAAGAAGTGGTATAACCTTTGATGAAATGTTTGCATTTGTATTTATATACGATACACTCATTTTCTCACCCTTTCTCCTGTGAGTTGGATTAGTAAAATTGTAAATTCTTAACTTTTATCTAAAAAAAAACTTAAAATTGTAGATATTTCACTTTTAGGTTAAAAAAAAAAAAATTAAAAAAAGGGTGGAAAAAAAAACTAGTTGCCAACCCTGAGTTAGACCCAATTATTGTCACAAAAAATACTTTATTGTCCAAATAGGAGTACACCCAATTACAGGACATCTTAAGTACTAATAAGGCTGAAACAACTACTATATATTACATAAAATAATAATATAAAAAAATAAACATAAATAATAATAGTAATGAAGATCCAAATTTAACAAAAAAAGACAAAAATAGATAGAAGAACTTTATTAACAAAAATGAAAAGGTAATCCTAATATACAAACAATATGACGTACCTATACAAAATATAAAAGTATAAAAATATAAAAGAATATAAAAGAAAGCATTTACGAACATTATATCCATAATTACATTATTGATTATTGTATATTGTAATTAGAAGATTATAATTAAGTTTAAAATGCAATAATGTTCACTGGTTAGAAAAAAAAAATAATAATAATTAAAGATTCATTGAAAAAATACAAACAAAAGAATTTACCTACAGAATTACAGAAGATAGTAATATAACAGTAATTGTCATTTTTAATTTTTTTTTTCACATAGTCTGCTAGATGTTGTTTAAAAATCCGTAAAGATGAACTAGTTTTAATTGAATTTGGTAAATTATTATAATTTACAAACCCTTTAAAAACAAATAATTCTTAGAGTACTTTTTATTAGTTGTAGGAATATAAATATTGTTATTTTGTCTTGTATCATGGTTATGCATATCAATATTAAAATTTATGAGTTCAAAATAGGTTGGTGCCAAATTATGTAATCTTTTATATATAAAGACCGTTGTACCTATCCTTAATTTAAATTACACAAATAGATAACATAAGAACAAAAATCAAAATGAGGCTGAATAATTGAATTGAAAACTGCAACTCTGGACCATAGTGTTATATTTCTAGATACTCTTGAAAAAACATATATTTTCTTACAATTTGTTTTTAAACTTATAATCAAAATGATTACCAAATAACAAAAGATTGTCAATATAAAATCCAAGATATTTTGTTGACGTTACAATTTCTATTTTTTCATCATTTATTTTAAGGTTAATTTCATTAATAATTAGACAATTGTACTGGTATTTTGTCGTTATTATCATAGCTTTGGTTTTTAGCGTATTTAACTTTAATTTATTTAATTTAAGTTTTTATTACAGGAAGAGCAGAATTCATTTTCTTTATAGCATTCCATAAGGCTTCATTAAAACAAGCTAATAAAGTATCATCAGCAAATATATTAAGAAAATCTGTACAATGATTCAAGTCATTTAAATACAGTATGAACAGGAGTGGGTCTAACACACTACCCTGGGGTACACCTACATTGATATTTATTACATTTGAGATATCACAGACTGACTTTGTTTTCTATCCATTAGGTAGCGAGATAACCATTTATATACCTCTCCCTCAATACCTTACCTCTTTAGTTTTCTTAAGAGAATGTCTCAATCTATGGTTTTAAAAGCCCTTTTTAGATCTAAGAACACAGCTACTACATATTTATTAGCATCTACTTTCTTTTTGAATTTACATAATGCAAGCTGAAGTGCTGCTTCACATGAATATTTTTTTAAGAAACCCCAATTGAGTTTTAACTAAAATTTCATGTGTTTTAAAATTTGATTATAAACTGCTTTTCAAAAATGTTTTCTAAAGGTGGTAAGGTATTAATAGGTCTAAACTCATTTGCCTTTATGGTATTGCTAACTTTAGGTATGGGAACCATAATACTAACTTTTAAAGAATCTGGGACCTTGCATGTCCTCAGTGAGGTATTCACAAAGTTTAATATTACATGACCACAAACTTAAAAAAATTCTTTCAGTTTTTGAATTTAGTCTTTCATATGGACTACTTTTATTGTCTAAAGAATTAATAATTGCACCCAGATCTTCCATGGATAATGTCCTACACTTTGAAAAAGTAGGATATCAGTTATAGTTAATTTCCACCGTTCATCACTTAAAATACTTTTAACAACATGTTCTATGCTATCTATAAAATAATTATTAAATTTGTTGACAATTTCATTTTCGTCTCTTTCCAATTTTGGCGAATTATTAAAACTAAAATCAACAACATTGGGAAAATTTTGCTACTTATCATTTATCA